ACACACACACACACACACACACACACACACACACACACACACACACACACACACGCGTCAATAATAATGCCAGTAGAGCCGTGACGCACGACGTCACATACAGCAGATATACTGCGCAGCTGGCGGCGGCCGGGTGTGTGCGTCATTGAGATATATTTACCACGCGGGAAGCGCTGGAATTCACAATGCTCACGCACCGGCAATTTCGCGCTCCAGTCGCCAAGGTATGCGCGAGGGGTGCAGCGAAAGAACACGTTGACGGTATTTTTGGAACCCCCCAAATTTTTATTCGTCATCCCGGATGTTCGAATGAAAGGGATGTGCAGCTGTAGGATGTGGTGCCCGAATGCGTCGGCACTCATCAAGATAGTTAGCTATAGGTATTCGGGTTGTGCATTCATCTGCATTCAATATACGACGCAGCGTTGCCGTCTGTCATGTAAACACCTTAGGTGTTATATATATCAAGAGTATATAATAGTATCTCTATTATGTATTCTTGATATATATGTTTCCGCAAGTCGCTCTCTGCATGTCTATCTTATTATGAACGGAAAGTACAATGCTTTCTCTGTTGCCCTCTGCTTCCGCGAGCTAAGCTGTTGTAGAGTCGAGATCGTTAAAAGTGCCGAAGCTGGCCGACCGAAGCAGCTACGTGTAATGCGTTGTAATGTATGGAGGGGTTTCCGACCTCTGTGAGGTTTACCTGTTAGTGCGTTACAATGTGTGGATTCTCTGTAGCGGGATAGCGTGGTAGGCCCCTACGATAATGCCGGTCACGCGAAATCGCATATATACGCAATTTGTCGCAGTCCACTCGCGATACGAAGCGCAAATTCGCTTTTCTTCGCGTCATTTTCGCAAAGAAAATTCCCATTTCCTGCGCGGTTCGCGTTACGGAATTTCGCGTTACGAACATTTGTTCCGTAACGTGGAGTATTACCGAGGCTCGATGTATTTGTCTGTTTTAGCCCATAGAGAGCCTGTCGTACACGGCCGCGGATCCGGATAGATACGGGGCTAGACCCGGACCCCCGCCACCTTACTCGGTAAGTCATCCGTCGCAGCAGGAGTGTCATAATACAGACATATCTATATTATCAGGATGTAGATGACACTATGTCTATATTATGACATTCCTGACAGGAGCAAACACTGCCGGCATAGCAGGCACGCGCACACAGCAGAACGATCTTTCTTGCGTATAACCGAAACGTATTCACCGTAACCACCGTGTTTACAAAAGTTGTGCAAATTAGGGCCGAGGCCTGTGGACGCCACCACAGCTATATAATCAGACCTCATATATTTTGCTAGTATTGTCAGCCTCTCTCGTTACCGCGGGCGCTCAACCAAAATGAGGACAAGGATGAATTCGGTGGTTAGTTAGTTTCGTTTACGGTAGGAGGGGGAAGGGTGTTGATTGTGAGCTTGAAGGAAGGGGGAGGAGGGTAGAGGAGAGGAGACGAACAACACAGATTAGCAGAGATGCGGCTAACAGACACGAACAAAGACACAGGCACTTGAAGCGTTTCAATAAAATATAATGCTAAATAAATACGAAATCTATTTACTACCAAAGTCTTAATGTTTCTCTACTCTCTTTCCCCTATTATTGCCGACAATTTCCTGTAAATGCCGTGCAAATGCTCCTCTGCAACACACATGTACACCGCATGCACGCTGCCGCACACTAAAACATAAATATATATATATAAATTGTCGGCAATAATCGACGAAAGAGAGCAGAGAAACATTAAGACTTTGGTAGTAAATAGATTTTGTATTTATTTAGCGTTACATTTTATTGAAACGCTCCAAGTGCCTGTGAACAAGGAGAGAGAGAGAGATGTAGTAAGTAGTAGAGTAGTAGGAGTAGAGTAGAGAGATAGATGTAGTACGCACATGGAAGGAATGATGGAGCTAGCAAACAATTAAGTAGGAGAAGTGATTACGGGACATGGAGCGTGGAGATAGATACAGTGCGTAGGCATCTCGGTAGTTAGATATGGGAATAGGAAGCACGTGAAAAGAGAGATGGGGATAGCGAATATGGGAAAGGGGATAGGGAGCACGAGAAAAGAGAAATGGAGATATAGGGAGCACGAGAAAAGAGAAATGGGGATATAGAAAGGACGAGAATGGATAAATGGGGATATAGGAAGGACGAGAATAGAGAAATTGAGGTAAGAGAGAACGGGAAAGAAGAAGCGCAACTAGCGAACACAGGGGAATAGTTGTGGAAATAGCGAACACGATAGAGCGTCTAAATGTGATTACACCAGACAAGACACTGATCAATGACTATATCTGTGCTTTCATTCTTCTCGCAAAGAACGGTGACGTAGACCCGACCGTGCAGGATGAAGACGATAGAGGAATCTGGGGATCACAATGGGAGTTCCTTCTCTCGTGTATCGGCCTATCTGTCGGGATCGGAAATGTGTGGCGTTTTCCGTATCTCGCCTACGATAATGGCGGCGGTAAGATTTCTTACTCTCACAATTTCTCGTATACGCTTGAATATTCTCAAGGATGACTCCCCCGAAACAATGACGACAACGTTTTTTATTGTTATTTTAAATTATTTATCTTATCATAAGCATAATGATCATTTTAGAGTATATTTTGCATAATATACAAATAGTGTGGAGGTGATCCTCGGCGTTATAGCGTGTGGTCTCCTCGGCGAACGTCCAAACCTCGTTTGTTCAATAAAGTAGTAGAATATCATTTCAGCAACGATACTGATCGAAGTTTGATTTTTTTTTTTTTTGTCACGCGCAGGTGCCTTTCTCATACCATACATAATCGTGCTGCTGTTGGTGGGGAAGCCCATGTACTACATGGAGCTTGCGCTGGGACAATATGGAGGCGAGGCACCCTTAACCATCTTTTCATGCGTGCCCATCGCTAAAGGTAACAGAACGGGCAAGAGCGTGCATTACCGTAACCAAAGTGATCAGGATCGCGTGCGATCACAAAAGCATAAAGCATAATGGCATAAAAGCATAAAGCATAACGGAGGCGAGTCTTGTGAATATACGATTAGAATGTGATGACGATGCGGAGACTCGACATTTTTATCGTGCTAAACATAACCCTAAATATAAACCTAAACCTGAACCTAACCCTAAATATGAACCTAATCTGAACCCTAACCCTATTCCTAAACCTAGCATTAACACCTTAACGCTGACGCATGGCACTGGGAGGGAGGTGGACGACGCCCCTACCTATATATAACAGGATTCACCGTTGTACATTCCGTCGAGTTGTATTCAAAGATCACAGAACGGCGATCGGGAAAACGGAATTTTTGTACATACTAACGCTTTATAATGCCTTTCTCGGAGTTGCACATAACATCTAGACTCGCTTACTGTTCTAGCACTACCTGTTACCTTTGATTCATGCTGTTGTTTACGCAGGTGTCGGCGCTGCTATGGTCATGGTCTCCCTGATAGTAGCGATTTATTACAACGTGATAATGTCCTACACGCTATACTACATGTTTGCCTCCATGCAAAAAGTATTACCATGGACGACATGCAATAATGAATGGAACACGAAGTACTGTTACGTGAGGTATGTGTGTTATGCCATTCTATACATCTTTCGCATCCGTACCTCCACCAATAATATCTTGAAAGAAAGTAGCTGCTATAATATCGTATTATAGACAGAAAAAAACACCGAATTTACTATAGGGGCAAGCAATGCAGGATCTCTAGATATTTATTACCGCTGAGGGTGTCAAAGTGACATTGATCCAATATTATCTCGTTTTCTGAACCACATAGAATAGTAATTTACCAACTAATAGCATAAACTAATTACATTTTCAACACCACGCGTCTTTTGCGTAAATAGCGTGGTTTAAGAATGAAAGAAATTGCTCAGGATAAATAAAATTCGAACGGATTCGATTATTGATGTTGCATGTTTCTACTATACACCCACAAATACACTATATCTGCAAATACACCCACTCGTACTGCCTGACTTGTCAGCAACGAAAACGGCGTCCATCTTGAAACGATTCAATGTTAAAATAGAAGAAATGGTGTTTTTCTCAACGCTGTATTTTTTTAGGGGTGAAAACATCACATACTTCACGAATCTGATCGCCAACACGAGTTTGACATTGAAAACGGCCGCAGAAGAGTATTACAAGTAAGTGCATATCATCACCATCGTACAATGCGTGTGTGTGTGTGTGTGTGTGCGTGCGTGTGCGTGCGTGTGCGTGCGTGCGTGCGTGCGTGTGTGTGTATTGCACTAGAATCTACAGGTTGCTAGCATAACCATGAAAAAGGCAGTGCCATTGTTTGTTGCTTGCATGTTTCGTCTGACGCACCATTAATTAACGCGTGTGTAAATTAACGCGTGTGTTAATTAACGCGTGTGTAAATTAACGCGTGTGTTAATTAACGCGTGTGTTAATTAACGCGTGATGCTGCTCATCACTCTAGCAACAAGGTACTCGGAGCTAACGTGATCGAGGATGGAGTCGAGGTCTCGTCCTACAACATCGCGAATCTCGGTCCCATCAAGTGGGATGTCGTCCTCTGCTTGCTCCTGTCCTGGATCGTCGTCTTCGCCTGCCTCATGAAGGGTATTAAGTCATCCGGCAAGGTATGCGCGCCGCGTCCGTGTGTCTACCTCGTGAACCGTAGTAGAAGTTATAGTATTGGTTTTGCTAGTGGTATTGGTTGTGGGAGTGGCTGTGGTAGTGGTAGGGATAGAGGTAGTGCTTGTGGTAGTGGTAGCGGTAGCGGTAGCGGTAGCGGTAGTGTGGTTGCGGTTGTGGTTGTGGTTGTGGTTGTGGTAGTGGTTGTCGTCTGTAACAACAGCAGCTCTTGACTTTAAATATGGGGAAAAGGAAGATACCCTACTATAATAGGAGCCGATAGCAAATTGTATCATCGTAGTCTAAGATTATAATAAATCGAATTATCCTTGGTCGCTTTCGGCATGATTTTACGTGAGACAAACCAACTATTGCCTGGTCGCTCGGGTGTATATATACATACATAGCGTGCGTACCATGTCTCCACTGATGTGTAAAATCTTACGTATTTTCAAGGTTGTTTACTTCACCGCAACGTTCCCTTACGTCATTCTCCTAATTCTGCTGATACGCGGATGCACGCTTACTGGAGCCAAGAACGGAATTCTCTACTTCCTTACGCCGACCTGGGACAAGCTGAAGGACATTACCGTACGTATCCATCGATTACTCGTTTTTCTGTGATCGATACAATCGATATTATAGCTGATCATATGCATTATTATAGGGTTATAATGTAATTAAATGTAACTGTCGGACTACAGTCACCACAGAGTTCCGGAGTAAAGAGTTTCAATTATATATATATATATATAAATATATATAATATGAGTATATATATATATATATGTGTGTGAATGTATGTATGTATATATACGTGTGTATGTGTCGCAGGTGTGGCGTAACGCCCTTGGTCAGATGTTCTTCTCGCTCTCCGTCGGCTGGGGATGCCTCATCATGTTCGCCAGCTACAACAAGTTCCGACACAACTGCTACCGCGACGCCATCATCGTCAGCAGCCTGGACACGATCACGAGCATCATAGCTGGCTTCGTCGTCTTCACCGTGCTCGGAGCCATGGCCGACGACCTTCAGACAGACGTCAGAGACGTCGTCAAGGGAGGTGCGTCACGTGCGCGGGTCGCGCCCTCCAGTGGGAAGGCGCCGAAGCACAAACTGGTTTTTTTTTGCTTCGGGGAAAAAAGGCTCAGTAAAAGTTGGAGGAATCTTACGAATCCCTTATTTTTATGTTCAGTCTCTGCGTGCGCGCGCAGACTGGTCGTGCTGTTATGTTTAGTCTACGTGATACCCTCATATACACACACACACATATATATATATGTAATTTATTCATGCAGGTGATTTTCCATATAAACATAATGTTAGAGAACAGACAAGTTCAAGGTGTTAGATGACTACTAAGGATACACACAAAGCATGAGAAGCACACATACGTGTATAGACCTACAGCATACGTTGTTTGATGTTTTCAGGGCCTGGTCTCGCCTTCGTCGCGTATCCAGAAGCTGTAGCTCGGCTACCCGTACCGCAGTTATGGTCCATCATATTCTTCTTCATGCTTTACACTCTGGGTTTGGACAGCGAGGTGAGCATGCGTGCAGCAATGGCAGACGTATCATGAATCGAGTCAAATTGTGTTAATTGCGTTTAAAGGGATACTTGACTATATAGGTTCCTTCCATATTTTCGGTTAAAATAGGTTTAAATTACGCTACATAAAAAATTCCTAGTTCACTCACGGTCTTCGTCTGTCGTATGTTTTTGCGGGTCGTGGTCGTGCCTACCCACAGCACGTGCCTCCCCTTTCGTGGCCATAGTTAACAGTGGCTAAATAGTAACTAGTGTTTATCCACTTGTTGTTGTTGTTTGTTGTTGTCTATTGCCTTGGCGGCCATAGTTAATAGTGGCTGTGTTTACTCACGTTGTTGTTGTTGTTGTTGTTGTTGTTGTTGTTTATTTAGTTTGCCTTGCTGGAATGCGTCATGAGCAGTATGACGGATCAGTTCCGGCCGCTGCGGAGACACAAGTTCACCTTCACGTTGGTCTTCTGTATCGCCTGCTTCTTCATCGCCATGCCGAGCACAACACACGTGAGTGCACGCACGCACATGCATGCACGCACACGCACGCACGCATGAACGCACACGCATGAACGCACACGCACGCACTCACACGCGCACGCTTGAACGCACACGCACACACGCGCACGCATGAACGCGCACGCACGCACGCACACACACGCACATACAGACGTGCGCACACATGCATGCATGCACACGCACGCACACACACACGTACAGAGGCGTACACCCGCTCACACACTTTCCTGACCGCACATTCAAACCAGTGCTCAGGCGAAAACACGCACGCATACGCGCACGCACACCTGCACACACATCTTCCTGTCAACACATCTAAACCCGAGCTCGGATGCACGCACGCTTGCGCCATGTTGATTATGCAAATACCAGCTATTTCATAATGTGTAATATAAATTTCTATTTCGTAATTGCGCGATATAAATTTAAATGTATGCAATTAAAATTCATGCGCCGTACGTGACTATAAAATACGCAGATGGCTGCTTCGACGTTGATTCCTTACCGCACCGTTGGTGATCCACCATTTCCGTAATTAAAATCCCACAAATTTCTCTCGAGAGGGGGAGAAAAATCTCCCAACCTGCTCCCCGACCGATGACGCCCCTCCGACGACGATGACGACCGACCCCGACGACGATGACGATGATGACGTAATAACAACACTATACTCGCTACAGGGAGGTCAGTACGTCTGGGGTTTGATGGACAAATATGGCGGCGACTTTGCCGTTCTGCTCATCGCCTTCTTCGAGATCGTGGCGCTGATGTGGGTGTACGGATTCCGCAACTTTTCTCAAGACATCGCGCACATGCTCGGACACAAGCCCGGCTGGTACTGGATCGTCTGCTGGGTTTTCATCTCGCCCGTGCTCATCATCGTAAGTATCGTCCGTGACGTCGGCGTGACGTCGGCGTGACGTCGGCGTGACGTCAACAAGACGTCGGCACAAAATATTACCGAATATTTGCGCGATGTATTAGACGATACGTCGCCAGCCGACGCAGATACGATCTTTGAGACGTTATCATCACCGTCGTTGTTTGTCGCCACGCGATGCACGGTGTCTCCCTCTGGCGACGACATAGCGATGAGATTAGGAGCGAATAAACACAAATATTTGTCGTTATTTACTCTCCGATGAGACGTGTGTAACACTTGCTAATAAAGTTTATCTCAGTTAAATCCAAATTAAGTTAAAAATAACTTACACTGACGAAATTTTCGCCCATCTCACCGATAGACTTCCTCAGGTCTGATGTTAACACTGTGTCTAACACTGTTGTCACTCTTGCCTGCGCTTTCAGTTGGTGTTTGCAGCTGCCATGTATTACTACAAGCCGCTGACAAGTGATGGTTTCATCTACTACCCTCCATGGGCTGACGGTGTCGGATGGCTGCTAGCTATGCTCTCTCTCATACAGATCCCACTTTGGGCCATAGTCATGATCTTCGTACAGGAGGGCACGCTCTCACAGGTGCGAATGCTACTGTCTACACTTGTCACGTATACGATTTGGAAACATATGTGTGGGTGGGGTGTGGGGGTGAGGTGTGGGGGTGAGGTGGGGGGGGGTGAGGTACTGTACGCGCCATAGAATGAAATGAAAATCGCGCATATCGTGCCAAACGCGAAAAACGTGCCATAATTTACTGCTTCGATCTTTTACTGCATCTTTACCTCACCGATCCTTCATTGGATCTTTACTTCACCGATCTTTTCTGGATCTTTGTCCCACCGATCTTTTATCGGATCTTTGCCCCACCGATCTTTTATTGGATCTTTGCCTCACCGATCTTTTATTGGATCTTTGCCCCACCGATCTTTTATTGGATCTTTGCCTCACCGATCCTTTACTGGATCTTTCGCTAACCGATCTTTTATTTGATTTTCCCCTTTGCAGAAGTTCCGCGCGGCCATAACGAAGACGGAGCATTACGATCATAGACTGCGCCGGCACGGCGACACCTACGCCGAAACACACGGCATGGTCAACGTCGACAACAAGAACGTCGCATACGACAACCCCGCCGCGCGATACTAGAAGATCACGTGACCGGCCGACGTCGTGACGTCATCGCCGTCGTCGTCGTCGTCCTATCCGGCAGCTCTAGTGCTCATTTTATATTTTCAGGTGTCAGAACGTTGATAAGATTAGCGCAATCCTAGGTTGGGACCCCGGTATATTATATCGTTCGTGTATGTGCTAAGCATATCCGGGGTGCTAAACTAGGCGTGGGCCATAAGATCGATGGAGCGATTGAGATGAAGTTTTATGTTATAGTGATAGTGATGCCGATGTGTAAGATTCGCCGTAGATATGCCTATTATATACCAATTGTATGCCAAATACCTCCTATTTCTGACGTGCGGTGCAGGGAGCACGATCTAACGAGTAGATTCCATGTTATTTCCTGCATATTTTTAGCCGAAAATATTTTAAATAGTATGTAGTTTTATCTTATCAAATGGTGGCAGCGTTACAGCAGCCGGAAAGGTATACACTTGTACATTGATTCTTTGATTGTTTTATATCGCACGAAAGTTTTTCGAAGATGGAACACATTTTATCGTATTTGCTCATTTTTTATTTCTCATCGTGGTCTGACGCGAACCCAACTACTGTCGGCAAAGGGAGCCAGACAGAAATGATGACACGTTACACAACCACTAGCATAGCCATATAACAGGCAGCAATATAGGAGATGTCTTCTCTCTATTTTTTAGAGTGCCACTTTAAATTTGTGGAAGCAGTTCTATACTCAGGATCGAATACGATTTAACCTGTTTATATGTTACAGAAATAAAGACATCCTGTTACTAACTAAAATGATCGCCTATATTTATTGTATCATTGGTCCATAGATATGTATGAGCAGCCTGTCCTGGCTTTTGAGTATGACATGTTATTTATAAAAAAAAATTAATTTCATGTATATTATTACTACTTGCCATAATTTTTCTAGTAATGACACATCTCAGAGTAGATACAATAATGTAACGCAACAAGAGTACTCTACTCTTGTTGGGTTACATTATTGTATCTAACCGCATGAGCGACATTTCGAACGTATCAAATTGGCCAGGTCTAACCGCGTGGATCACAAAATGTTACACATACTTTAAATCTGACATTCGGTCATTTTCTCTCCGCGGTAGTTTCACAGATGAATTAAGACTCGATTTCCGTCAAAAATGGGAACATTTTCCCCCGTAGAAATGGGAAGAACAGTACCGTGTTTTACACTAGCGCACACAAACGAATAAAAACCTCGAACCATCGAAAAAAATCTAGCATTTTGCGAAACGTCTTTTGCATTATACGTTTCGTTACAAACTGCCGTCGACCGTGCGGCTGGAAACCCGATAGCAACATTTACTTTACATTGTATTTATTTGTATTTATGTTGTTCTCGCACACCTCTTGCAATAACCGGATGTGACGTCATGCGTGTCGTGTTTAGATCAGACGTTGACCAGGTGACATGTAGAATCGCTGGTAGGCGTACAACGCACCGACCGCTATCAGCATCCCCAGCAAGATCATGGAGAAGGCCAGAACAGTGGCGCCACCTATAGGTGCACGATTAGCAATCGTAAAGATACGATTGTTCGATCATGATAAAGAATTTCATGATCAACATGAACCGAGAGTTTACATGAGAAATTAGGGCATCTAATCGCTATCAAATTTACACAAATACAACTACTACTACTACTACTACTACTAATGACAACAACAACAATAATAATATTATGATTACAATTACAATCATTATTATTATAATTTAACGGTTATTTTGGGGGTTGAACTTTAAGAAGATGACGATCATTGCGAGTTAAGTCGTCGCGGAAAGTGACTCACCAGGCGACATTCCGGAACCGGAAGTTCCCCCGTCCAGGTCGCACACCATGTGCTGATTCTTGCCGACCAGCGTGCCATCAAGGTAGTTAACACCTGCCAAGAACACCAAACATGGATCACGCGCTGAACTCCCCTGCATTACACGTCTTGTAACTATATCAAGAGCATTGCTTTAAAGTTTAAACTATACTTTGACCTGTCCGCGGGACCCTCCTTGTAATAATAGAAGGAGTACGTATGATTGTTAGATGATCTTACTTGCTCCAGACGATAGAACCCGTATTATCAGGAGTGTTATAATATAGAATTATATAGAATATAGAACTATATAGAATACCATAGAATTATATAGAATATAGAACTATATAGAATACCATAGAATTATATAGAATATAGAACTATATAGAATACCATAGAATTATATAGAATATAGAACTATATAGAATAACATAGAATTATATAGACTATAGAACTCTATAAAATAATATAAAATTATATAGAATATAGAACTATATAGAATAATATATTCTATATTATGAAGCTCAAGGTATTACACGCGCGTACGGTCTCTGCGCTTCTAAACGCAGCTTTACAAAAAGAATTTAAAAAAAGAAGTAAAAACAGCTTTATAAAAGCATTTTTTTAAAGTATAAAAGAGCCAAATAAAAAGAAATCTGCGAGAGCTCACGCACGCGAGTAATGGTCGCACTGTGACGTCGTCACAAGCTGCACTCCGTCGTCCTGCAAATTCGATGACGTCATCACACAGTGCGTCTTTGGAGATCGGACGTCGTTCGGTTCGGTGGCGCAGACGCTGAAGGATCGGCAATCGAAGCCGTGCTCTTCCACACACAAGATGGCGCATTCGTCAGCGAAGATTTGTCTATCTCGATCTGCTGCGGCTGCGGCTCGCTGAAGGTCGAATTCGCGTACAGTTGGAAGTCAGAGATGTAGCTTCCTGGAAGACATGTGGTGAGAGGTGAGAGGGCAGGATGAGAGAGAGAGAGAGCGCAAGGAGAGAGAGGAGAGAGAGCGAGAGAGAGAGGAGAGAGAGAGCGAGAGAGAGAGAGAGAGAGAGAGAGAGAAGAGAAGAGAGAGCGAGAGAGTGAGAGAGAGAGCGAGAGAGAGAGAGAGAGAGAGAGAGAGAGAGAGAGAGAGAGAGAGAGAGAGAAAGAGAGAGCTCGCTAGAGAGAAAGAACGAGCGATAGCGAGAGAGAGAGAGAGAGAGAGAGAGAGAGAGAGAGAGAGAGAGAGAGAGAGAGAGAGAGCGAGACTTTATAATAAACTCACGTGTATAGAAGTCGCAGGTCCCATGGTCGGAGAGGTTGCCAGAGTTATTCATGTCCATGAGGTGTGACTTGTGCATGTTGCACACCAGCTGGCCTTTGTTGTTACAGAACTCAAAGGAACGACATGGCATCTCCGTCTATATATCGCAAAAAATAGCAAAAACATATTTTTATATTGGACACGAGTACTAGTTACGGAGTACCAAATATATATCTAGACATCTCATGACATATATGTATACCAACTGGACACACCTACGTCGTTAGGGCCACTTCGCAGCGTATTAGGTAATTTTTAGATATCTCCTTATATATGTACGTCCTCATATGTATGAGCAGGGGCGTGTACAGGGGGGGGGGTCCAGGGGGTCCGGACCGCGAATTTTTTTTCCCCACGAGAGTTCCGGACCCACCACAGATAGTGTTTTGTAATATATGGTGCCTATATAAGACAAACCTGGTTGGACTATAGTTAGTGTTAGGGTTCGGGTTCAGGTTAGGGTTAGGGTGTATAAAATTTACTTGTTGGTCTTCGAGGAAGTCGAGTGAATGGAGTGCGCTGATTGGCTGTGGTCCGGAACTTTCGTGGGGAAAAAAATCTTGCGTCCGGATCCCCCCCCCTGCTCGCGCAGAAAACGCATCTAAGGGAGTCTAATTTCAAAATTTTTTGTCCAGACCCCCCTTCGCGTGCTCGCAAGTTTGGGTTACGCTTAGACCCCCTTGGTACAAATCCTGTACACGCCCCTGATGAGTAGATAATGACGTCATACGTAGTTTCTCTACGCATACCTCCTTGACACACTTCTGCGCGCACTCCTCGCGCGTTTTTGGCCTCGACGGTAACTTCTGGCTTCGCGTCGGGTACTTTTCGGATAGTGGATGAAGGCGTTCACGTAATTCCCTGTAACAGCAGTTTGTAACACCATAGGTTAACTCGTCAGTCACGGCCTCACCTAGTTTCAGTTCGCTCACCTAGCATGATCACACGTATGCTCCCGAGGACACATACGTTCGTGACTATATACAATGTACTAAATATAGTCGTTTCAGGGCTGATGCAGCGGTCATGGCAGCAGCGGTCATGGCAGCAGCGGTCATGCGCAACAGCGCAGGCCAAGCAGCGGTCATGGCAAGCACTCAGGTCATGGCAAGCAGGTCATGGCAAGTGGAGCGAGACTATAAGGATCAACTACGACGTTGAAAAGAGAAGCGTAAACCCAGCACGGACGGATAGCGAGGGTAATACAACGACAATAAATCAAGCAACAAATAAAATATAAAATAATTAATATATTATATATTAATAATAAAATAAACAAAAATAAATGAAAAAAAACAGAAAACAAATAACAGAAATACTCTAAACGAACGCACGCTCGTGTATACGTACGTCCGTACACTGAACACGGTTCTTCGTCGTCACATCCGCATCCGTGATCGTATGGAAGAACTTGCTCGTGCGCCGACACTCCTTGGTGGCGCCACAGTAGCTGAAGGCGTTGCACTGAGTATCGAGGGCGCGCTGCATTCGCGGCACATTCCTCAGCAGAGATGCCGCTGCGGCGATTGCTCGCCTTCGTTGTATGAAGGTGTCGTTCATGCCCAGCGTGTATTCCTCCACTGAGAACGCACGAGACACCCTCATGCAGTAGACTGGCACCCTTAGTTACCCCGCGTTTATTCACGCGCACGCACCCGCGCACGCACGCACGCACACGCACACGCACGCACACTTTCCCATGGCACACACGACACACACACGCACGCACGCACGCACGCACCCACACTTTCACATGCACACACGCACAACACACGCACACGCACGCACACACACACACGCCACGCACGCACACACACATACACACACAGCACGCACAGCAACGCCACGCACGGCCGACCACACACAATACACAACCGCACACACACACGCACGCACGCACACACACATACACATACACACACACACGCACGCACGCACATACCTGCTTTACCAGGTTCCTCAAACAACGTCACCGTCAGTCCTCTATACGTGTATGCCTGTAAAATAATTTTTTTTTTTAAATCAGTATACGGACCGTACCAATCCACCTGCAAAACTATAAACTTAAGATGAAACAACAACGGAATTGTCAGTTGTACGCAATATGATTCTAGCAGGAGTTATTAATAATAGATATTAGATAATTACATATTAGATAATTACGTATTAGATAATTACATATTAGATAATTACATATTAGATAATTACATATTAGATAATACGTTAATATATTATTATTCACTCCTGATTCTAGTAATAACTAAAACACGTGAACATCACTAGTAACGTCAGAGTGCGACAACATCTACTTACCGTTCCATCCGATTTAATAGAAACTACGAAATTGCCAAGGAATACATCATTCTCCAGCGCGATATAAGCATGCCTGTTTCGCTTTTGGGGCTGCGTTTCCAATACCGTGCCTGCATGAAAGGGAGAAAGAGATATATATATATCGTTTATCCCAGTATCGTGCATATACCAAAAGAATACCAGGAGAAGTAGTATCAAGAGGAAGGTGAAGAGAGGAGAGGGTAAAGGAAGTATGATCGCACACAATTACGCGAAGTGTAGCTTTAATGCAGCACAGAGGATGTCGGGATATTGAGCTCCTCACTTATCCACAAACCATTGCAACCCGGGCAAATAGGCGAACCTATATCTAGTCCCGATATCTATATATCTATATAGATATCTATATCGATATCTAGTCCCTTTACTGCTTGGGAAAGAGAAAACTCCTGCCAGGCGGGTCCCCAAGATGGCGAATAGAGGTCAGCTGTGAAAGCAGCCCCGGACCAAACACGGGTTGACCTTTGGCAAGGCATAGTACGCGGCAGCCACCCGGCCTAGGGTTACAGGTGAAGCCCTGGGAAGCAGCATGGTGGATGCAGCATGGTGGATGCAGCATGGTGGATGTGCAGTTTTCGGCGGAGAAGTATTTCACAGTATTTAACGGCGAAACTCTGATGACGCTAAGCGGACGAACCACAAATTTGGTCAACGGTCAGGATCACCCAGTTCAGTTAGCAAACTACTGCGAGGATCTATAGTAGTGGCGCCCATAGATGAGACATCAGCTGTCGAACGATTAATACGACTCAAGCTCAACCCAGACGATGAGTCCCTTTAAGATACTTACGCATGTGTATGCTGCACGAGGGGCTTGGTAAGATCGGTTGCATGGTCATGTAAGGATGCCAAGGGTAGAGCATGCATTCCTTGTCCAGGAAATGATTCTTACAAAACGAAAACGATTGGCACTCAAACTTTTCCTCATAGTCGCAAAGTTCAGCGCAGTGAGCGGCCGAGCTAGCGTTGAAAGAACTGTTGGTAGAGGTTGCGAAATCGAATCCTTTCATTTCGGTAAAGTCGAGCAGGTGAGATCCTAAATAACAGAAAAAGTTCATTTCTCAAATATTTTTATACTCGTGGGACCATATAATGACATTAACATGATAGTAGTGGGGATTCAACGCGGTTCAATATAAACAACACAACAGCTACATATTATCTCGAATAATGCTAACTGAATAATTAAAAAAACGTTCGCATCAATTTAGAATGACTTCGTCGAAGACTATTAATGATGACAATTGATTTGTGCTTACCTTTAGGTACGCTTTCGAGCAATGTAGCCGACACATAAATTTCAGATTCCCGGTTGTGGTCCACCTGTAAGTAACAATAATATGTGAAGATGTATGTATGTGTGTGGGTGTGTGTGTGTGTTGTGTGTGTTGTGTGTGTGATGTGTGTGTGTGTGTGTGTGTGTGTGTGTGTGTGTGTGTGTGTGTATGTGTGTGTGTGTGTGTGTGTGCGCGTGTGTGCATGTGTGTGTATCATCGATATGATTACCCATGTAAACCGCCAGAGATAAGAGAGACTGGTTGCTATTAGTTTAGTCAGCGCCCTGCACCGCAATGCATCGCCAGCTCTCTTCTCCAAGCCGTTTAGTTCTACTGTCAAAACGTTCGATTGCTTCACAGAAGTGATTGATAGAAGTAGGCAAATAATGGAGGGACAAGTAAGGAAAAATGGATTTCATTTGTTTTTTGGTAATAGTTACAAAATATTGCTGGTAGTAAGTTTGTGTTAAATTTGAACATGAATTTGGCCAATTCCGAGCGATATATATCGTTAAGTTTTAATAAATTATGTTTGAGATAAAGTGGAGAGGCTCGAGACCATTTAGTAGCAAAATTAGTTAGTTTGATAATCTTATTCTGTTGTGTTATTACTGGTTTGAGCTCAGATTTTGAAGCAGATCCCCAACTGAGGATAGCATATTGTAAGTAAGAATAAGCAAGTGCGTAATATACTGTTACTAAAGACTGAGTGTCAACATAATATCTTAGTTTAGACTGTATTAATTCTCCCTACCACACACACATACACAAACACACGCAAACACACACACACACACACACACACACACACACACACACACACACACACGACGCACCACACCAAGTGACACACACACCATAACTATACATATATACCATACTATACCATACTATACCATACTATACCATACTACACACACACACTATACATACATGCACGCACCCCCGCATACACGTACGCGCGCTCACGCACACGCACGCGTGCACATACAACCAGACAACATCTTCGCAACACGACAGTTTATGTAGATATGAAAACCACGTACACTGACCACGTATCGGACGTCCCTCCCCCTGTAACACTTCTCTCCTTCACACACATAGCGTTATGAACGGGGAATCCACTGCGATTGCTGGAGTAACTTCGTTTCAACGGAGATCGAACCAGATGTGATGGCCAACGTCACTTACGAATACTACTTCATGCAGGTATAAACTGTGACAATGTGTATGAATTATCACGTCACGTCACGATTGTCGCGTACACTCGTATACATAGATGCGTGTGTCACACACGTCGCACGTGTTGTCGCAGGACGCATGACACGCATGTATTGTTGTATTACGTATGACACGCATGTTTTTATTTTACAGAATACGAAGGACGAAGCTATACTGATCTATATAGGCATGTTTATAGACAGCAACAAGGTATGTGTGTATAGTAATCAACGCCTGTAACCTCTCCCAAAAAGT